TATTTTACTTTTAAAAAAGATGTTGGGGTTTGTTTGTTTGTTTGTATTTTTAATGTGTACAGCTGTTTTGCCTGCCTGACAGTCTGTGTGCCATCTGTGTGCAGTACACATGGAAACCAGAAGAGGGCATAGGTTTGTTGGAATTGTAGTTACAGACAGTTGTTAGCCTCCGTGGTGCTGGGTATTAAACCTGTGTCCTCTGGAAGACCAACAAGTGCTCTTAAGCACTAGTCCATCTCTCCAGCCTCCACCCTTGGGAGACAACATTTTAAAAGGTTTTGATACTCTCTTCCAAATTAGATCTTCCACTTTGGCTGTTTCTAATAAAGTATACATAATTATCTGAGGAATGGACGGTAAAGGATAGGGCTGAAGAGAGAGATCAGCATTTAAGAGCACTTAACGCTTTTGTAGAGGACCTAAATTCCGTTCCTATTACCTATAAGGCCCTCAAGTCAAGCAAGTGGCCAAGCCCCACCCCTGAGGACCTCCAACCACTAGGCTCTGCCCACAAAACACTCTGAAGTCCACAATGACCTGACTCAGTCTCTCAAGATGTAGGTGACCAAGCTTTGTCCTGCAGCATAAAAAGCCCAAACTCAGGGCTTGAAATCCCACCAATCCCCATCCTGGAAAGCTCTGCCCTATATAAAGCCTATATAAACCCCAAACCCTATATAAAACCCACCTCTCTCTCAGTTCTCTGCTGATTCTCAACAGAGAAGAGGAAGTCACCCTCTTTCCCAGTAAATCTCTTGTGTGACATTTGTTGTGTAGTATGACTTTGTGGTATTCCTTAGCTCCTGAGTGCCAGGAAACCTTTCCCCTCAGAGCTGTAACACTTACAGTACCCACATAAGGTGGCTTACGACTAGCTGTAACTTCAGCTCCAAGAGATCCAAGACCTTCCTTGGCCTCTGTGGTGATTGTTAATGCATATCTTGAGCACATGCATGCTGAAGCCAAAGGTCAACCTCAAGTGTCATTCCTCAGGAACTGTCAACCTTGATTTGTGAGGCAAGCTCACTTACAGGGACTAGAGCTGATTAGGGTGGGCTGGCTGGCCAGTGAGGTCCAGGGATTCGCCTGTCTGTCCCTCCCCAGCGCTGGGATTGCAATGTGTGTTGGGGGTTGAATTAAGTAATCATGCTTGCATGGCACTTGCTTACGTTACCAATGGAGCTACCTCCTCAGATCCTAAGAACTCATCTCAAGACCAAGGGAAGTTGTTTCCATTCCTGATATTATTAATTAATCTACCAGTAGAACTGCTTCAAATACCTACTGTATCAGGTGAAGCAACTCCAACTGTGAGGACAAAACCAGAGTGCACTGAGTTCCCCAACACATGGAACTGAGACTAAACTAAGGGCCTTCTAGAGTTGGTCAGCTTAACACTTCAGCCAACAAGAGAAAAGATCCCAAACTCAAAATATCAAGCTCCCTTGAAATGCCAGTGTGTCCTCAGGAGCCTGGCACTCTGGGGCCCTGGTTGCTGCAACAGGTGCAGTACACACATGTGCACTGATGACTCAGGGACCCCTCTACAGCCCTCTACATGTGCATCCCAGACCTTGAGCCCTTTGCTAGGAAAGTATTCAGTCATTCATTTTACACCCCTAGCTCTCCAGAAAGAACAAACGGCATAAACTTCTCATTATAAGAAAATCTGCAAAACTAGGCTCAATGTGGAAGACCAGGATGAAGAGAGCAACGGCTGCTACCTTCCCCTGAACTGACCGAGGTGCCGACAGCTACCCAGCCCTGTGGTATCCTGTGTGTAAGAACTGGTTGGTTTTGGAGGTTCTTCAAGGCTGGATGTGCACCCTTTGATTTACACATGTTAAACCTCCAATAAATGTTTCTTGGGTGAGGCTTCAAAGTTCATAGAATATCATTTTAGTTAACAGGTTGTGAAATAAATATTTAAGCATAAAAATTATTCTGGATGGTTATTTTAGAATAACTCATGGGTATCATTCTAAAAGTACCCGTGGCAATCAAAATCCAAAGTTGTTTTTGTTGAGGGATTTGAGATGTTGAAAGATTCACAGTGTCTCACATTGAACAGGAAAGTTCTATCTAGAAAGGAACGTTCGTGTCTTGTCATAGTGAATGAAACTGAGTTCTGCATACTGAATGAAAGAGGTGACAATTTCCTTTTCTTAGCACAGTTATTGAACTCTAGCTATATACAACCAGATGCTACCAAGATGGGCACAATTAGTAACAAACCATGTTTAATAGTGGAATGTCAATGAAGTTTAACAGAGAAGTCCAAAATCTGTGAAGTGACCCACACAGGTACCTGTGAGAATGGAGCAGATCGTGGTTTTCCCTGCTCCATTGTGTCCCAGGAGAACAGTGATCTGTCCCTTATACAGGTTCATGCTCACATCTTTGACTGCTATGCATTTACTCCTTCCCCTATAAAACACCTGTGGGAAAGTCAGGGTGTGACTGACAGGGTAACACCACACAAAGAGGCATTTCTGAGGAGTATGGCAAACTTCGTATCCATATCAACTTCCTTTGAAAGTTCATCAAGCAGGGAGAGGACTGGAAAGAAAGGAGCACTGGCTGCTTTTCTAGCTGTCCCAAATTCTACTCCCAACAACCTTAAGGTGGCACAGTGGCTTACAATCATTTATAATGCTGCCTCTGGTCTGCAGCAAGCACTCATATACATTAAATAAATAATAAATGAACAAACAAACAAACCACAAACACACAAACAAACAACTCCCCCCAAAAAAGAATAAGGAAAAAAAGAAAAATCACCTATAGTGTCACACCAGAAACAGCAATTGCATTTTAGTGTCTTATTTAGACTATTTCTGTCCCATCTAATGACATTTGGGTTGTGCTTTGGGTATGGAAAATGCAGACCCTGTTGGCAGGCTGTGACTTAGATGTCACTTTCCACAAGTTACCCAATGGTGCCTGGAATAGGAATTAAAAAAGGAATTGGCACACTCCCCCTGACCTGTTTGGTCTCTATTGTTTTGAAGCAAGTGTGACAGTCTTGTTCTCTGACTTCTGTCTCTTTTTCTGTATAGGTGCCCATGTGGCCAAATTCTGAACAAGGATAAGAGGTAGTTTGCTAAGAGGAAGTCAAGGGAAGTAAGGGAGAAAAGAAGGAAAAGGAATGGCAAAGGAAGCGTTCTAGCCTGGTCTTTCACCACAAATGAGCTACTTCAGCCATCTTGCAATCATAAAAGCTCATGGTATGGAAAAGCAATTATTAAATGATACTCAGTCAGAAAGAGTTGTGAGCCGGGCGTTGGTGGCGCACGCCTTTAATCCCAGCACTCGGGAGGCAGAGGCAGGCGGATCACTGTGAGTTCGAGACCAGCCTGGTCTACAGAGCGAGTTCCAGGACAGCCTCCAAAGCCACAGAGAAACCCTGTCTCGAAAAACCAAAAAAAAAAAAAAAAAAAAAAAAAGAAAGAAAGAGTTGTGAGCTGGCTCTGCAGATCAGCTGAAATCACACATCTGCCCCAAGACTGCATATTATGAAGAGATCAGTTTTCTTTTTTAATGATTTATTTACCTTTATTTTATATGCATTGATGTTTTGCTGGGCATGCATGTCTGTGTGAGGGTGTTAGATCCCCTGGAACTGGAACTACAGACAGTTGTGAGTTGCCATGTGGTTACTGGGAATTGAACTCAGGACCTCCCAAAGTGCAGCCAGTGCTCCTAACTGATGAGCCATCTCTCCAGCCCTTACTTGAAGAGTTAGAGCTAGTAGAAGAGTGAAAGAACAAGAGAGAATCCCCGTAGAAAGTTAGGGAGCCGCCTAATTACTGTTATAGAGGACCTGGACACATGTCACAAGTCTACTCCCCCAGGTAGAAGGCAACGCAAGGCAAAGTGGTTTGTTTGTTTTTGTTTTTCTTTTGAGACAGTTTTAACTAAATATCTCTGACTGGCCTAGAACTCCCTCTGTAGGCCAGGCTGACCTCAAACTTAGATCTATGTGCCTCTGCCTACTAAGTGCTGGGATTAAAGACTTGTGCCACAAAACTCAGTTCAGTTAGAGTTGTAAGGTGACAATGCCAAAGATCAGAGAAGGCCCCACTGCTTTCTTTTATAGCTGAAGACCAGAGAGTTCAAACAGACAACACCACTCTGTGGACACTGAATGCCCTGAGATTACACCGTGTTGCAGAAACCCTTAGTAAACAGGGCCCTGTTTGGAGCAAGTCTTTGCAAGTACCTATGGAAGAACAACTGCCCGTTCCTATATTTCCAAGCTAACAGTGAGATTTGTTTTACATTTTGATTTGGTAAATATTTCAGCTACCAAATGGCTGAAGTCTGGCCTATCTCCAAAGGAGATTCTTGGCCTGGAGGTTGGGAGGACACTGTTTCAAAAAACAAAACAAAACAAAGATCAACATACTTTCCCATTTAACTTCATGATGGGAAACAGGGCATGTTAAGCCATGATTCTAATTTTGTAGGATCACATAGGGAATTACAATTCTTGATTCTAAAGAGTATCCTGTAAGTACTCTTAGAGAAAAACACAAACCTAAAAGGGTTGTTTCTCAAGTCCCTATAAGGAGGTTTGAAGCCAATACCTTATACAGATGTTGGATTTCAATTGCTTTCATTTGATCTGGAGGCCCATCCTGCATGAACTCTCTTCTTGAAGGTCTCTCAGGGTCCCCAATGTCTAGAAGTGGCAGTGCTACTGGAGCATTCTTCTTGAGGCAGGGCAGGCACTGCAGGAGAGGTCAACTTACACACTGTTTATGCGGTTCTTCTCTCAAATCAGATGACTGCCTCACAGGCAGTTACTTGTTAGATCAACTGTTTAGTGGCACCTGGAGAAGTTATCAGCTCAGTGATGGATGCATTACAGGTCAACAGCATTTCAGCCTGTGATTCCCCAGCACTGAGAGAGAATCTAAGGAAGTGGTCTTATCTCCAGGAACTGACTGTCCTTGGAAAGCTGCCTTACCAACAGTCATGTTCTCGGGGTGGGGTGTGGCACATAGATGGGGATGCTGCTGGTGTCATAGCGTATTTGTTTCTCCATATCCCAAGAAGGAGGCAGAACACATGCTGCAGAGGTCCCAGGCCTGAGCAGACCACCACAGGCCACTGGGAGAGGCTAAGGTAAGCCCAAAAGGCTCATATTTGTAAGAAAAATTTAGGCTGTGAATTTTTGGAGTTGTGACACTACTATTGGCATACTGCGGTGATCACAGAGGTTTCAAAGGGCCCTCTATCCATGCAGCTCCATGGAGAAAGGGTGTGTGGGAACTCTGCATGTTGGGGAGTGAGTTAGTTCCATGGGATAATGCAGAGTCTGGCATTCACAGGCATATATAGGAATCTGAAGGTACTGCCAGGTACACTGCGTGAAGTTATCCTCCCTGTCTCACCTTCAAGCCCATTGCATCAGCTGTGGGACAAGTTCAGAGAAACCGAGACTCTGTTAACTATGCTCCACAGCCAGCCACAAGCTGGAAGTTAGGAGGTGTTTGAGATCTTAATTAGTACATCATTGGGAGATGGAGGAACACAGATGACAAATATAAAAATCCTAATATCTGTCATCTCTAAAACAGAATCAGAACTTACCTTGGCAAGGAAGTACCAAAATTTAGGTATTGCAAACTTCCCTGAGAAGACAGACTCCACCATGAAGGCGATCAGACAGTACAAGAGTGAGTCCCACAGGAGCAGCAGCAGCACCTGAGCGAAGCTAAAGTCTCCTTGGACACTCCCTATGTTCCTCCACTGGATGCCCGTGCCTGTGAGGAAGGGGGCAGGGGACGGTGCTTTCTGCATGTTGGGAAGTCTGCTCATTCCACAACACTCAGCAGTCCTAATCCAGATATCAGGACCTGGGGAATTCCTGGAGTGCGGGTCTTCATCCCACATTGGAAAGGCAACCAAGCTGGTTTCTGATGTTAGCAAAAGGTGGCAGCAGCAGCAGCAGTTCACTTACCAACAGGGTGGGAAGGTACCAACTCCCCTCAAATATCTTCAAACTTGAGCCACCGTTAGAGTGTGCTCCCTACCCTGGATGAGAGGTCCTTCTTCCTGCAGCTAATCCTTTCCAGTATATACAAAGACATGTTGCTTAGTTGATGCCAGCTCCAATTAAGTTGATAACCAACACTAACCTTCACAGACTTTTAATATTATTATAATAGTACTCAGAATTGGACCTAATGCAATTAGCAAGCACTGTGCCACCAAACTGTATTTCCAGTCCTTTAATTTTTTTTGTTTAATAGACAAGGTCTCTGAGTTTTCCAGGCTGACCATGAGCTTTCATTCCTCCAGCCTCAGCCTCTCTAGGAGCTGGAATTACTGGTACATGCCACCATGCCCAATTAATGGAGAATTTTTGATTTCTGTTTTTCATGCATTTGTTTATTTATATGTGTATGTGTGCATGTGTACCATGGTACATGTGTGGAGGTCAAAAGACAACACAGAGGAGGTCAGCTTTCTGCCTCTTCTACCGCACAGTTTCTGAGGACCAGACTCTGGCCATCGGGCACGAAGGTAGGCTGCTTTAACCACTAAGCCATCTCACAGTCCTGGTTTCACTTCATCTCCTCTCTTGATTTATTAGTATCTTTTAAAAAGAAATGTAGTTGGGCTGGAGAGATGGCTCAGCAGTTAAGAACACTGGTTGCTTCTCCAGAGGACCCAGGTTTGATTCCCACCACCTATATGTTTGTTAGTCTTCTGAATGTCTCTTTCCCCATAAAGTGACAAGTGTTTTTGCTTCGTTATTTTAAATTACAAGAGCAAATTTCTAATGATGTGAATGAGTTCTGTAAACATTCCGAACATAAACTGCTTGCTAGTATCATATGTGTTGTCTCTTATTCTAACATGTCTTTTCCCTTTTCTCATGTATCTGAATTTAATGATAATATTTTGTTATTTTTCCCTCCACTGGATTAACAAACCATAGACTGAAACCTTGCAGACTTTTAAAACAAATTAAGGCTGGGATCTTTCAATGCTAACCATCTCAGGTATCTACTACAGTGATGGAAAGCTAACAGAATATGTTAAAAGGTTTGGTCACCAGGGAGGTTGGACAAAACCAGGAGGTGTGGCTTAGGAGGAGGTGGGGCTTAGGAGGAGGTGGGGCTTAGCAGAAGGTCTTTATGTTATTGGGGGAGTATTTGAAGAGAATATGAGACTTGTATCCCTTTGTTTTCTTGTTCATTCCCTGGTAGTTTGCTTTGCTGTGTACATCTCTCATGAAGGGCTGGACACCCAGAAGTCCAACATAAGGAGGCTACCTATTCTTCAACTAGAAACTACAGATATGTAAATCAAAGTAAGTCTTTCTCTTTACAAGTTATTTATTTCTAGACAAATTTTTAAAAGAGGGGACACCAAAAGCAATGAGACTAATATATGTGGAAACTACATTACCAGTAATGTTCACTATTTTCTGAGCTTCTAATCATAAAGTTATATATTTCATATCTATAGAATTAAATAAGCATATACTTTCTAATCATTTTTTTTCAAACAGAGTCACTCTGTTGCCCAAGCTGTCTGGATGGAATTCCTGGGCTCCAGTAACCTTCCTGCTTCAGTCTTCCAAGTAGCTGGGACTATAGGCCCATGCCAACCTGTTTGGCTCCAATTTTCTATGCTTTAGTTTCCCTTCCCATATCCATATCTATGCTGTAAGCTTTTTGTTTGTTTGTTTTTGTTTTTTGAGGCAGGGTTTCTCTGTGTAAACCTGACTGTCCTGGAACTTGGCCTCCAAGAGATCTGCCTCCCAAGTGTTGGGATTAAAGAATGTGACACCACCACCCAGCTTATGCTGTAAGGTTTGTGAAGCATATTATAAATCTCTTTAGCAGACCACAGAGTAACTATTATAATGTAAATGCTCAAACACTAAATGAAACAAATATGTCACTTATGCATAGTTGGAAATGAAGGGCAGGCTTGCTCAGCTCAAAGCATGTAGGCATCCTAAATAGAGTTTAAGAAAAATAAACCTTACCTTTTGCTTCAAACAGAGAGATGAATCGGACTCCTATTGCCATGGCAACATTTGAGAAGAGGCAAAAGGCTATCTTTTGGACATAGGTCCTCTGGTGGTAACTGAAAGTGATGTACAGGTAGGGGAGGTAAGTCAAGAAGAAGACGATGCCACTTATCACAGTTCCTACATGCGCTGCAGATTCAGAGGGGAAAAGATGAAGCATTTCATCAGTAACATGCAAGTTACTGTGATATACACCTTGTTTCCCTGCCATGAAAGGAAGTGTCTCTGTGACTGTTCCATCATTTCTGAAGGGAAACAACCTCTTTTTATATTTGCACTCTTACTAGTAAAATATGAAAACATTTACAGCACTTTAATAAAATGAAAGTAACTGGGTGTGGTGGCACACTCCTTTAATTCCACCACTTGGGAGGCAGAAGCAGAGGCAGAGGCAGATGGATTTTTAAATCCGAGGCCATCCTGGTCTACAAAGTGAGTTTCAGGTCAGCCAGGGCCACACTATAACACCAAATTAGGAGAGCAACCAATGTTGCTACACAGCTATGATGCCTATGAGCTACAATGATGAGCATGACACATAGTCCTAAGGGTACAATGGTGGCACGGATACCTTGGTAATGACCAACATTCCTCTCATCGGATTTAAGGCCCACTCAACAGGAAGGAAACTATGCCTAGCCAACTTCCCAGGGCAGGGAAAGTCACGGATCTTGGGAAAGAACTGTCACTTCACTAAACTATCATAATCCCTAATTTCATTCTAAGTATTTATCCATATTTGTGTATGCATATACATATATGTAAATATATATGTCTCATCCTTCACTAAAGGAACAACAAAATAGAGACCATTACAGAAGAACAAGTGATCATGTAATGCCAGCCCCAACTGATACATCTACAACACAGCACTGAAGCTCAAGAGTCATAGTGGAAGAGGCGGTAAAAATCTTAAGATGCAAAGGACAAAGAAGTTTTCTGCGGTATTGCATCTTCTGAAAATATCCGAAAGCTATACTCAAGAAATCTCGCCAGCATCTCTACCTAAACAAGACCTGAACAAAGATGACCCGATAGACATATTAACATGGAAGCAGGAAATCTTATGGGACCCCAACCCTAAAAAATGAATTACATGCAAGTAAGGAATACTGGAGTGGGAGAAATATTTTTCCCCAGGGAAGAGCTCTCCAGTTCTTTATTGAATACCAAGTGATTAGCCTTGAAATCGTACACATACAAGTAACATTATACTGATTGATCAGGTTGTATTTATATATTTAGGAATACATGTATATGTAACAACAGTTAAAAGCGGGATCATAAATTTGAGAGAGCAAGAAAAGGAAAAATGATGTTATAATTATAATTTCAGAAAAAAAGAGCACCAAGTGCTCTTAACTGCTGAACCAGCTCTTCAACCACTCCCCCTTTTAAAAAAGACTTTAAAAATGTGTGTCTCTGTGTGCTTCTATGCACCACATTGTACAGGTGTCTGCAGAACATAGAAGATCCCTGGGAACTAGAGTTAAACCTGGGTCTTTAGCCAGAACACTGAGTGCTCTTAACTCATTGAGCCATATCTCCAGCCTCCTGGTCTATATAGTCTTACTGTGATGTCTTTTATGAGTTTGGTGTGAGATAGGATTTTTTTTTAGTTGCATGGGTTATTTTATTTATTCTGGATACATGTCTTTTATATTATTCATAATTTCTAAAATGTTTCCCCAAGGATATAGATTATCTTTTTACTTTATTCTTCCCTACATATTTGCTATGTTGTACTCATTGGTCTGGTTTTTTGTAACAAAGATTGGTCTTGAATTCAGAGCAATTGTCTTGTCTCAGCAGCCCAGGTACTGGAGTTGCAGACATGAGCCAACACTTTTTGTTGTTGATAGTGATGCATGGTCTCTCTATCATGTAGCTCTGGCTATTCTGGAACTTACTATGATGTAGACCAGGCTGTTCTTGAACTCACGGAGATCCTCCTGCCTCAGCCTCCTGAGTACTAGGATTGAAGGTGTGCACTACCACCACCCGGCCTAACTTTCAAAGTTTTAACCTTAGCTCTTTTTTTTTTTTTGAGACAGTGTTTCTCTGCATAGCCCTGGCTGTCCTGGAACTCGCTCTGTAGACCAGGCTGCACCTGAACTCACAGAGATCCACCTGCCTCTGCCTCCTGAGTGCTGGGTTAAAGGTATGCACCGCCACCACCCAGCACCTTGAGCACTCTTAAACCTCAATTGTAGACATCCTTCCATGCTCATACTCTTTCTAAATTCCCTAACTTGACTAGTGCCCCTTTATGCTTGCTATGAAACTATGGAGGGGAAGTGGAATTCAAAGTTTGAATCCTCCTCCATCTTGGCAAAGTCAGTATTTTTCCAGGAATCACATATTACAGCGTGCTATTTGATATAAAAACATTCGTAAATATGAATAATACATTTCTCTTTCCTGGTTCTTGTAAACACTGTCTTTTGGGGCAACTGCTGAGCTCATTTTTCTCTTAATGAAGTGAGGGTAACTAACTCACTTCAATTCTCCTATCATTTCTATCTTCTATGATTCATCAAGTCATGTATAAATATTTCAGATGTAAGACCTCCAACAGGACCAAATAAAAAAAAATATATATATATATCTTATGTGTTTTAACAGGGCTTTAATAGAGAGCAGAATTCTCCCATTGCTGAAATAACTATGAAACTGAAAACTTAGCTGTGGAGGAATAATACTAAATGCTCTAAGTAACAGGAATGACAATGCTTTCAGAAAATAATCATTAACATCCCCCAACAGAAAATGACATCAGTACTCACCTCTTTGAAAGAATGTGCTCATCATGAATGCAAAGAAAATTGTGGCAGTGGCAAAACACATTAGAAAAATAAATATCAAGGTAGGGTTACTGTTCCTGAACACAGCCACATTGTTTACCTACAAAACAATCGTAGATGTGAAGAAAGCATGAAGAACCCATAAAACACTGTAGAAAATATTCTTAATTTAGAATTGCAATATATTTTTATAGTCTGTTTTTTATTTTTATTTCCTGTGCATTTGGGTTTTACCTGCATGTATATCTGTGTCAGAGTGTCAGATCCCCTGGAACTGGAGTTACAGGCAGTTATGAGCAGCCATGGGGGTTCTGGGAATTGAACCCAGATCCTCTGGAAGAACAGCCTGTGCTCCCAACCACTGAGCCGTTTCTCCCAGATTTTTTAAGGTAGACATCTGATCTGCCATCTGATATCATTTATAAATTATGCTATGAGTATTTCTCAGGAAAAAAGTTTGGATTCAATTTTTGATCTAATGTGGATTATTATATTTTCTTTTGAGGGGGTTATCTTGGGTATTGAACTAAGGGTCTTAAATACACTAGACATATATTCTACACTGAGCTATGCCCCCAGCATAAGTTCAACTCGTGGTTACATTATCACTATGCCATGTATTTGGTGTTCCTTTTGTTACCTCGTGTCTTCTGTTTTAATGCTTTCTGGATATTTCCTTTGTTTGAAATATTTTCCTGTTTAGTCTAGGGCTTCTTCCTTCCTTTCACCACACTGACACAACATTAACAACTTAGAAAGTAAGTTATTATTTATCTAAGTAGTGGGTTATTAAATGAAAGCCGGCAAATGTTAATATCAAACTCCATTGACAGCATAAAAGAAAAGCGTGATAACAAGGAAGTAAAATAATGTGGGTTTTTTTATGTGGCCAATATGGTTTTAATTGAGTTATAAAACTTAGAAATGCAGAATAATGTTTACTATATCATTAGCATAGTGATTAACTTAAATTATATTTTAATAATGTAAAATACAGTTTGTTAGCCCTCAAAAGAGAAACTACAAAGTTCCCTGCAACCTAAGATTTTGGGAAGGCTCCTTAAATTGTTTTTACTCACCAACTTTATAATACTCAGTAACATCTGGGGAGACATAAGAAAATATAAGGCTCTTTTCAGCTGTGATTCAGAGTTTAGCAAAGCTGTATGGTAATGTCACTATGGGACCATAAAATTTTCCCGCAAGTACTTCCAATAGCATAGGCAGCTCAGAGGCTTCATAGTTCAGAGCATAGAAAGCAGCTAAGCTATCCTAGAGAACTGCAGAACATAAATCCTGTTACTCTCCTACAGAGAAACTTTCTAAAATATAGGTGTAACTCAAGGACGCCATATCACTCCATTCAATAAACACTCCAATGCACAAGTGTTGAGCACAGCCTGTTAATCAAAAATGTCACTGCACCATACTTTTTGGAGGTTTCGGGTGCTGTGCTTGAAGTAGCAGGACATTGACTTTATCCCTAGTTGAGAGCACAGGGTGTCAAGCTCAGCTTCCATTTACACAGGATGCACCAACAAATCCTTAGGGTGATGAGTGGTCAAGTACTACATTCAAAGACAAAGTCTGTAGGACTTTGGGGATTCTGACTTCCCTAAAAGTGGTCTTGAAGCAATAGAGTCCTTTTTTTTTTTTTTTTTTTTTTTTTTTGGTTTTTCGAGGCAGCATTTCTCTGTATTGTTTTGGAGGCTTTCCTGGAACTCGCTTTGTAGACCAGGATGGCCTCGAACTCACAGAGATCCGCCTGCCTCTGCCTCCCGAGTGCTGGGATTAAAGGCGTGAGCCACCAACGCCCGGCCAATAGAGTCCTTTTCAAAGAGCTCACTGGATACTTAGAAAGGAATAAAGGCAACAAGTGCAGTAGGCTTAGATTCTTTCAAATGAAAAATGTTAGAAATGACATGTAGGCTAAATTTTTATATCAAAAATTGCAATGTAATGAATAGACATTTAGGGAAAAATATATAGGCAAGGTTAATTGTGTGAAATACTCTATATATCAACTAAACAGAAAAATTTCAAACCACTAGAAGCTCATAGCAAGAGAAACAGCTAAAAGACAATCAAAAGTCAGGGAAGTTTACTAGTTTTAGAACACATTAACACAGTATATAGAAATAATTTACTTTTAAAACTAGTGTTTGCCATGGGTGTTACTCAAGGCCAGTGTACCGAGATGCTTTTTCGGTTAAGTTAGTGCTTCTGTAAGAAGGAACCAAATCACACTGTAGCATCAAGCCTCATTCACACACTAAATCATAATCTGATGATTTCTGTTTACTAGTTCAAAACTAAGCAGGAGAGGAATTAAGCTGACTAGTCAGGCCTTGGAATAAGCATGGTTTGGCAAGACACAGTCACTCAGCTCAAGGATTCAGGAAAGTTGCTTAATTCTAGTAGTCCATTGCTTCACATAATTAGAGTTCTATACAGTCATTTGTCTTTATCAACTTTAAGCTGCATACAGGCAAAGAGATCACAAACTGCTGGGAGGCCATGGAAGTTAAGATCTTCTTGTAGGGGTGAATTAAGACATAATTCCTGGCCCTTTTGTCAAAGTAGCCACTTATCTTCTCCAGAGGTCAACTGGCTGAGGTTTCCCACGTTCTTTCCCGGTAAGACCTAGTCAGCAGCATTAAAAGGACACCAGGAAGTGGCAATAGGACCTTGTGCATTTCTTTGCCAGCTCTGTCTTCAGTACTAGGCACTTCCTTAGGACCTCCTCCTTATTAGGGCCCAATAGCCACTCTGACAAGGAACTGTTCCTTATGACTTGGAAGGAATCAGCAATTTTAGCAGGAGCTATTGCCTTAGCTTGTTCTGTTAGTTCATTTCTGGAAGGGTAGAGGCATAGATTCAGGGACTCTTTGTGTTTCTCAGGCTCAGGTTTGGGTTCCATAGGCATTTTATTCTTATCCTTTCCTTATTTCTTCAGAAGCCATTTACACACTGCTTCCTTCTCACCGTTGTCATCACACACACAGTCTGCAAAGCTTGTGCAGGGCTCACTGGCTTTGCATACTTCCTCGGCTTTACATGGGTCTTGATGGTTCTGGACAAGCCAACCCTCAGTGGTCATGCTGGGTACTGACAGTGTTTTTTTTTTTTTTTTTTTTAGCCTCCAAGTGGTCATTCAGGTGCTTCAGATTGCCCAGGTTCTCAATCTCCACACCTCTGGGTTGGTTACCCTGACAGTTGGTACAGGAGTCAGGCTTGACAAGCCAATCATTCCCAATGTAGGGCTCCTTGAATACCTGGAATAAGAGTTTAAACTTCTCACTGGTTTCACAGCTGCCATTCTCGGGCTTCTCCAGTGCACAGGATTCTTGGGGAGTCACCAACCAATCACACAGGTCTAGCTCATCTTGATCAAGGAGCTCTACATCTTTGACCTTTTCTACTTAGTAGAGAAAGAGCTGGTGCTACAGTGGCTGTTACACTTTGAGGAACTTGGTTTCCCAGGAATAACTTGTTGATGACTGTTAAGGAGCCAGTTTTCTAAGCCCTTTATATTGACCCAGGCATTGCTGAAGAAACTGCAGGCTCTGGCAGAAGTCTGGCTACTCTCCAAGGTCTGTTTTGGGGTAAGCCAGTCCTGTGGGTTGGTACTGGGTACATAAGGAGCCTGATGACCAATGGCAGGTTTACTTACAAGAACCATTTGCTGAGAGAAACAGCTGCGCTGTTAGATGCTGACTTCTGCTCTGGCACCTGGATATGGCCTCTTTTCTCTAGGAAAGGCCCAATATTTGAAGAGCTAGCATAAGCCATCAGGCGTTCAAGAATCTGAATTGTCTTAAGGGATCCATATGTGGGGATGGTCTGGCGCAGAGCAGATGTGTCTGCTTCGAAGAGTAAGATAGTCAAATCTTCAGGCATAAGGGCCAAAATGCCCAGTCTCTCCAGGCACAGAGATACTTGATTGGTGAGACCTTTGTTCTGGGTGTGCTCCAGTTGATGAATAAGACAACTGAATTGGCCGGGCGTTGGTGGCGCACGCCTTTAATCCCAGCACTCGGGAGGCAGAGGCAGGCGGATCTCTGTGAGTTCGAGACCAGCCTGGACTACCAAGCGAGTTCCAGGACAGGCTCCAAAGCCACAGAGAAACCCTGTCTCGAAAAACCAAAAAAAAAAAAAAAAAAAAAGACAATTGAATTGGCCCATTAGCCAATAAGGCTGCTGCGCCTGTTGCCGAAGTGTCTCCTCTTTACGCCGATAGATGAGGTCTACCTGTTCATTGAGCCACACCTCACAACTCTGGAGGCCTTCTAGATGGCTACGTATGCAACTGTGAATCTGAGCTTTTACCTCTCATGAGTTATCTTTATTTTGCTGTCCAGCCTGGAGTACTCCACCAATAGCAAGCTCTGGCTCCCTCTGTGCATCACTGCACCTCAAAAGTGTTTCTCTGTTACTGTAGCAGCCACTCTGTTCCAGGGAAGTATTCATTCTGCTTACTATTCTTCACAGTCTGGTCCTGTGACGCAAACTACTTATAAAATAATGTTTTAGAGTAACTATTTTCAACTAATGTACCATATGAATTTTATCTTTTAAAGTTTATAAAAATGCATTTTTGTGATCCTTAAGTTCCTTAGTACTAAATTAGGTATCATAGCACATGAAATCCTAGTACTTTGGGGGTAAGGTTGAGGATTAACACAAATACAAGGTCATACTGGTCTACATAGGGAATTCTAGGGTAGCCAGGAGTCCATAATGAGCCTCTGTCTCAAAAAGAAAAACAAGAAAAGGGGGGA